GGTGTGATGCACATTTTGCTTTGTCGTTATCCGTGTGATTTCGGATAATCATAGTGCAACTGTCGAAGTGTGCGTGTCCATGTCCTCGAAGTCAAGTCTGGAGTTTGACTCAAAACCCCGGCTTGCTAAATTGCTCTAATGTCGAATGCGTTTCATATACATACTCAGCTCGGAATTGTGTGTGATATGGAGTTGGGGTTGCGTTGTTGGGGTGTGCGGGATGGTGCTCGGATGACTGGGGCTGCAGGTGGGGGTGTATCTCTGAGAGTTGGCCACTCGCATAGATTTTTTGGTAGATTGATTGCCTCACGTGCCGACGATTACCACTCGAGGTGCAATTGCCTCCACAGAATCCATTCGTCTGCAACGTCCGCGGGGAAGTTCGTCAGCCAGTCGTGTACATGCAACCATGACTGCCCCCCTCGATACAGCTGGGAAGCCCATCGCTCCGAAAGTTGAACTTTGCTCCCCTGGTTGTCGACGACGTTGGCCCAACGCAAAATCATGACTAAGCCCTCCACGGGCAATCGCATCCTCAGGTTGCCCTGGAAGGCGCGGATGCATGTGGGGGTCATGAGGAAGAAGCCAGTGACGACTTTCTACAACGACAGTTTTTACCTAAACAGGTTTTAATATGAGCTGAAGGACTCTGCATGATATGTACAAAAATGGTACAGACAACAGAAAAGGGGTGATGAAACTTTTTCCGTTTTTTCTGGTGGCATAATATGAAGTATTCAAATTACGCCTCCTCTAAGTCACTTCCCTCTTTAAAAGATTTCAAAATATTTCCAAAACTCAGTTTTTGCACACCGAATTATAGTAATGTTGCCAAAAACATAACACAAGTGAAAAAACTTTTGATTTTGCACTCTTCATCGAAGTGTTTTCCCTTTTCCGACGCTTTCTTCCTGCACCCAACTTTACCTCCGAGTTTGAACGCAATTGGTGCACATGTAGCATTGAATCCCAATTCTCGCTCTCACGTAAGGTTATACTGAGCAGACTATGTACCTGAGCATCTGTGCAAGCCATAAATATCTTTTGTGCTGTCAGGAGATACACTTATCGCATGTGTGAATCACTCGCTTCACATTCGAGCGGTGTAAGTGAGAGCTGCACCTACTACACGTCACGTAATTGTATAATGCAGAAGCTAGTGGCTCTTGGATTGTGAATATACAGAGGTTTGGCCCAATGCAGTGAGACTCGAATGACCGAGCCTCGTAGTTAGTGAGCGCATGCCTGCGATGTTCCCACTGCCCTGGCCAAAAATGCCGCGATGTGTGCTAAATCTGTGTGCTTCGTGCCCATGCCCGTGTCCAGCCCACACCTTGCGCAGACGACGAGAGTTCCAGGCTGAGAACGGGAGTACTGTACTGTACATGCGGGGGACGTGGTGTTGGGTCGACATATATGAAGAATTTTTTCAACCAACAAGTATATAATTTTATTCGAACTGAAAAGTTATAAAAAAATCAGCCATACCAACCGCACACAACCGAAAAAGATTGAGTCATATCTCCTCGCTACCTCGGCAAATCGACAAAGATATGAAATTATGATCACAATGGATTTTTCGCAGCCATGGACACATCAGCTGACGAAGATTACGACCCCGATATCCCCCTCCGCGAACTGCACGCTCCTATTCCCTCGAGACGCATGTCGCGGCCATTTCGACCCCCCAGTGCTTTTTCACGACGAAGTTGACATGCAACAACAAGAACGTACGGCGACTGCGCGCTGGGGTGGAGGCGTGTATGTCTTGTTTCTATTGTCAATTGACATTTTGTTCTAAATGAATAGAACCAAAACTGAACGTTGTACTCATATTAAGGTACTATTTGATCTGTAGATTTCCTAGGTGCCCTTGAAAGTTAGAATATGGCCACCGGTCTATACCAAACTCTTGGACCGTGCTGCTGGCTTAAAGGTTGCGACAATTCCGTTCGCTTTCGCGACCTGTGTCGCTTGCATGGTGGTGCAAAAGTGTGCAAACTCTATAGCTACGAAGTCGGCACAACCATCGCTGTCCTTGTAGTGCTCATTGTTGTAAAGCTGTGTTCGATGCCCAATTGTCAATATCGAAGCGACCAACACAAACTTTACCACAATTAGAAAGGTTTCGAAGGAGTCCTTTCCTTTCCTGTTCCGCTTCCCACCGTCTGTTCGTTGCGCAACACCCAAAACTCTTACAGAAACAAACTGCTCAAAGTCTATAATTATTCTGCTCCCAGGGGTTCCGGAGCGGAATTAATTCCTTTCCGTTCCGAAGGCAAATGGCCACACCATCGAAGCGCCGTACCTTCTCTGAGCGTGATGATCTTCTTCTCCGGCCGCAGGTTTCGGTTGTAAGGCCCCATATAGCTCGGCGAGGGATGATAATGGATGTATGGGACTCGGTAGCACGCAACCTCAACACTCTGGAGGAGTTTGACAGATGCCACTTCGACGGCAAGAAAGCCCAGGCCCGTTTCAACATAGACCATAATGCTGTTTCGCAGCGAGCGTCGGGCGTTGACGAGGAAGAGAGCGACAAGTCTGTTCTCCTGGACGACCTGTGCGCTCAAGTTGACGATGCCTAGCAAGAGGAGGCACGCCAGGCGGCCATGGAGATAGAGGCAGCTGAACGGGCTGAAGAGTCGGCGGTAATTGTACTAGAGGAAGCAGTGAAGTCCTTAGAGAAACGAAAAATAAGGTGACGAAGAAACAAGAATTGATTCTTGGTTATATGTCCACAACTTCTACTGTTTCGAGATATTCCTCAAGTGTTGGAGGGGCTTCATCGAAATAATGGCTGATTTGATTTCCCCCGAAATGACAACAATGACAATTCGTCAAAAACATAGCCACACAAACGAATTTTGAAACTGGTGATAGCACCAGCTTGGCCAAATTTTTGTATTGAATGTGGGGCCATTGTGTTGTCATGACTTTGACGTTTTTCCATTCCACCGATTGACGTACTCTGCTCATAGATTTGTTGAAGAGTTATTCTTCTTTGAACAAGTTGATTCCCCGGTAGCCACTCATGACAAATTTTGAAACACCATACGCAGGGTCACCATATATGAATTTCGATGCAAAAATGTCTGGGTGTTGCTCAAGTGCAGGCAACAAGCCACTCATAGCAAGAATAGCAGAATCATGACGTCGCCCCTCAAGGGGCCTCCAGAAGTGCATGCAGAGGCCATCAGGACTCGACACAGCTTTAAAATTCAAGCAATGAAATCGCTTGTGTCCGCTGTAAATGATTTTTTGCAGGTTTTGACCACCTCCCGTTGTAGCAATACGTGACGACTGAACCTTGGTCCCATTAATAAAGCCAAAGACACAGTCTAACGGTGATCCTTTCCTTGCGATTGCAGCGCAGTAGCGAGTCATGCGAGAGCGAAGTAGTCCACGGTTCAAGAACACAATTGGGTCCCACCGATCGTAAATGTCGTGAACCAAGTAGAGAAACACATCACCCAGTTGCGCCCGAGAGCGACCAAACATCAAAGCCATGCCGTGGTAGTGGCGTGGAAACGTCAGCCGACTCAACAAAATGCACATGGCCTCGTCTCGGCAAATGCGTGATCCAGCGGGCGTTATGATGGTGGCTGGAATTCCGAGCAGGTACCCCATTTTCTTTATGCCCGTAACGTCAAAGCGAAAGTCAAGCAGAGCATTAGCGTGCGGGTGCGCGTCGAGACAAAAGATAACGTTTGGAATGACCGGGGGCTCGATGTATTGCATGAGGTACATGCGCATGAGAAGCTCTCGCGATGATTTGTTGCGCGCAAATGGCAGCAAGGAAGTGATTTTATCAACCGAGAGCATTGTCGTGAGGAAGGAGCTGAGGAGTGGCTTGTGTTCGACTGGATTGGACTGTGAGTTTCAACGGAATAGGATAAGAACCTTCAAAACTCCATTTTTGGTTAACTTTCAATTCCCGTTCCGGTGGCCGGAAGCGATATAGGAAAGGAAAAGACAGTTTCAAAACCTTTCTATTTTACTCCTTTGCGCCTGTATTGAAACTCGGGCTTGCGCAGAGGTGACATCGTATTGTTCTTGGCGAGGCGAATATGACGAGGCATTGCTGACAAGAGGGCCAGAATGCTGTTTTTGTACTCACGAGAGGAATTAACTCGGAAATACTGAGCGGTCACAATAACATTACAGATAAGGGATATGCCACCTAAACGCACGAAACAGAAAATTGCAAAGGTACTATAATTAAGACTTTAGGTTATGGATTTATGTGTTTTGACCAATTACACAATAGATACGATTGAAATTTGGGCAGTCATATCATTATTTCCACCACATTAGAAAGCCTCTTCGGCACTCGTCACACTGAAATTTCTTCGACCCGACGCTACCAGCGACGTAGAGTGCTGAAATCAATACCGACTACGGTCGTAGCGATGCGACGTAGAGTGCTAAAATCAATACCGACCACGGTCGTAGCGATGCGAGGGAACATTTATTGGTTGCCTTTTCCATGCATGTACTTGACCGTGATATATCTAACGGTATACATTATTAGTTAGAAATTTGAGCTCAGCGAAAAAATTCCTTGTTCAACGAACAATCCTCACAGTCGTATAGTTCAGTCAACTCAGCAAGGCCCGGCGTTTGCGTTGATAGACCGGCGAATGTACGTACGGCCAAGGTTCTCTGAGTGCATCGACCAAAAAACCACGGACGAGTTGGTTTTGAAGATCCGCAGCCAGGCGTACCGTTGGAGATCGTACACCACCGGTCGATCGGCGTTGACGTCCCACAGCCAGCGCTGGTAGTCGTAATAGTTTTGATTGAGCATGGTATTGTATTGAGTTAAAGACTCTGATTGGCCAATATCGTACGGATAATGATGAGTTTCGACGATGTTTCGTGATCTCAAACTATTCGCAAGATAGTTTGGCTTGAATGCAAAGCTCAAGTGACTAATATTGGTTTCTTCTGGATTCCGAAACTCGAGCGAAACAAATAGTCGAGTGATTTTGCAAAGTGAAATTACGTCTGAGAAAACCACTGTGAGTGACACACAATGAAATTTGTTCGAGAAAAGTCGTCGTTAGTACAACTGACAGAAACAATAAAATTCACTGTGAGAAAATTCATCATTGGACAATGGACGACGACACCGAGACCGCTGTACAGTCCGACCAAAGGCGCAAAACCGCGTTCCGATTTAAGGGTTGCACGGATGTTGACTTACTAAAGGAGGTCATACACATAAGACCATTTGAAGCACCTCACGGAGAGGTCCGCAAGCGATGGACAGAGGTCACAGAGCATCTCCAGCGCATCGTTGGAGACAGGATCACCGTCAATGCCACCCGAAAGCGATTTGACGACCTGATGACGGCGTTTCATGAAGCCACAATGGCCGCGCTACGCGCTTCGGGGACAGAGGAATAGTACGAGGAACGCGAGCAACTTCTGCAGGATATCCACGACCTGGTATGAATCGACATGACGGTGAGATTGAGAGAAAATGAACTGTTTAGACTGAAGCTGCATCGAGTCGAAAGCAAGCAGGCAAAGAAGAAAAGGCGAAACAGAACGAGCGACGGGAGGCGAATGGCGTAAAGATTCGTGATGCGGCAATGTCTACAATGAAGCGCAAGATGATCGAGGCAGACGAAGTGGACTGGAGCGAGGAAGCGACGCGCAACAAGAAGCAGAGCCGCAGCAGTTCACAGCGGCTTACCGAAGCTGGTGTTGTGGTTGCTTCTCTGGTGGAGATGGTGTCCAAAGCCAACGAAGTAAGGACCGAGGAGGTCCGAGCACAGCAAGACAGCAACATGCTTGCCCAGAAGAAGTTGGAACTGGAGGAAAGGCGATACGAACTCGACAAGGCGGAGCGTGAGGCGCGTTTTGCGCTAGATCGACGAGAAAGGGAGGCTCAGTTTATTTTTGCAAGGAACTCTATAAGTGTTAAAATCGTTGGCGGCGAAGCATTAAAGATTGCATTCTTGGTCAAATGATGAACACAATCGAAGAGCGCAATGTTAATT